TTTTTCTTATAATTGAGAATACACTGTAAAGTAAAAATAGGATGACAAATATATAAATCAGTGACATAGGCATGCACTGTCATCTTCAAGTATCATCTCAATCACCTCCCAAAAGCCCCTGCTGATACATGAAGTGCTTGGTGACATGCCAGATCTAAACCATAACAATTTTTTTGCTGTACTGGGAAGGTTTTCTTCTATTTTCCATACTAGAAGAATACTTTTTTTTTTGTAATAGTAAAACAAAAGAAGTAAAGACTTCTTTTTGGAATTAAGTGGAATAGAAGGGTAAGGGGATTAATAGGAACACTATACACTTCTGATGACCAGAACAATTAGCAGTACCCACTATTTGCCATAAAAATGATCATTGCCCAGCCAGGCATGGTGGCACATGTGTAATTCAGCACTTGAGAGGCTGAGGCAGGAGTATCACTGTGACATCAAGGTCAGCCTGAACTACATAATGAGCTCAAGGCCAGACTGAACTATATAGCAAAAGCCTATATCGCCCCCCCAAAATGATCTTTGATCCCCACAAACAGATATATAAAAGATCAAGTTTTTAAATATAGTTTGGATGTTTTTTGTTTTGGAACTGGGAATCAAACTCAGCACCTCATGCTTGCCAGTCAGGCGCTGTACCACTGAGCTATATTCCCAGCCCCTAGTTTTTAAATCTGCAAAAGTAAAAAATATAGTTGGGAACTCTAACACTTATTCCGGATTCAATATAAAGTATAAACACGTAATTACACAGTGCACATGTGTGAATCAAACCTGTGGGCATCATTTTCCTCTGAATCATAGATCCAGAAGATGGAGATACACACAGCAGCACAGTCATCTTCTTCCCTGACTCCCCAAAGCCAGATTTATGAGGAAACAGGCATCTTCCTGGACAATGTCGGGCATCACATTTTATTGCTATGGCACTGTCTCTGTAATTGGCCGAGGACTGAGGCAGAATGTGGGGGCCTGCAAGAGTCCTGAGGGACAGAGGCAGAGGTGGGCAGCTGCCCAAGGAGACCAGGAAAGGAACAAGGACCCAGAAGCAGGTTTTGCTTTGGGAGAAAACCTGCTAAAATCACCCTCGTATCCTGAGATTGGGGGACTTGCTCAGAGGATGGAGGCTTCATTGGATTTATGATTCTTTCTTTGAGAGCGAAAGTGAGTGTCTGGGGAGGGCTTGGAAGACCTGTCAGGCAGTTAAAAACAGAAAGAGCCCACACACCTCCACCAGGGATGGCATGCTACCGCCGCTGAGAATCTGAGGGCCTCAGTACCGCCAGCTAAAACAGCATTGCTTGTGCAAACTGACCACCAAATGATTCTGGCTGCTCACCCATCTGCCTTTGCTCGATTCTTTAACAAGTTCCTTCTTGGATGATGCACATCAAGACTGCAAGGAGACAAGAGATGGGTCAAGGTTGCTCTACAAACTGCTGCTCTTCAGCCATTCTTTGCAGTGGACACTTTTCCTTCCATCATCCTCTGTGAAGAGTCTTGTCCTGTGCTCCCTATCCTGCTTTCTATATGGGAAAATGTTGTCCGTTTTCCACAAACTGTCCAAGCCACATGCTCTAGTCCAGTGGAGGCAAACCTCTGACTGGAGTGCCACAGCAGGCACACAGAGCCCTCTCTGTCAGTACACGAGCCAAGTGTATGAGTTATTTTTTCTAAACTACATCTTAATGTTGAGATTTAATTGTAGTGTTGGCAATTTTCAATACATAAGTGGGTTTTGGGTTGCAGTTTGGGCACTCGGTCTCTAAAAGGTTCGCCATCACTGCTCTCCTTTGTGGGCTCTAGGGTCAGTGAAGATCATTAACTAATAGACCTTCAAACAGAACCCATTTGAATTGGTAAAGAACACGTGTTAGTGTTGTAAAGCAATCTTCAAACTTGCAAGTCATTTGATATGAGGGGCAGTGTGTATTCATCTTGATTAATTCTCCCCAGATTTTGATGTATGTGTAAATACATATAAGACCTAAAACTTTTTTTCCACTACACACAACCTCCTTTGTGCCTCCCCGACAGTCACACTGACCATTTCACTGAGAAAATGTTCCTTTCTTTGTTGATCTTTGAGACAGGATCACTTTATGTAAATCAGGCTGGTCTTGAATTTGTGATCCTTCTGCCTCAACCTCCCTAGGGCTAGGATTAGTATTTATTTGATCTTTTATGTTCAGCAGTATTTGTTTTATGAAAATAGGTGCTCCAGTATTTGGTGTGTAAATATTTAAAAGTGCGATCTCTTCTTGTTGGATTATCCCTTAACTAACATGTAGTAACCTTCTTTCTCCTCTAATCAGTTTGAAATTCATGATGTCTGATTAAAACTGCTTCTTCTGCTTGTTTTCAGGACCCTGGTGCATGAAATGTTGTTTTCTATCCTCTTTTAGTGTATAAATATATTTTTGATTAAATGAGTTTCATGATTTTGAAATTGATTTTTTTTATCCAGTCTGCCAATCTATGTCTTAATTTAAGAGTTGAGACCAATAACATTGAGAGATATTACCAAAATGTGTTGAGTATTTATAATCATTAGATTGTTTCTCTCTTGGAGACTCTTTTTTCCTGTCATTTTGTTTTTGTTGTTAGCCATTGAGCTTGCTTGGTGTCTTCATTTCATGTGGTTTGTTAGTGTTACTGGTTTCATTATTTCTGTGCATTCGTGACTATTTTCTGAAGTGTTGGATTAATAGTGTTAGGGTTTGTAGTACAGTACGTCACCCTGTGCCCTTCTGGCCTTTAAGGATGTGTTGTGAAGTCTGTTGTAATTCAAACAGGTTGAGCTTTATATATGATTTTATGCTTTACTCTGTTTTTAAGACTGTTTTTTGTTAGATATCTGGCAAATTAATGAGGATATATCTCGGAGAGTTTCTTTCTTAATTGTAGTTTGGTATTCTGTATCCTCACTTCCATATATATTGAACCCTTATATTTGGAAAATTTTCTGCTATGGTTGATATAAAATCATTAATAATTACATCTGTGCTATATTCTAGCTTTTCTCTAACCCCAGTTAAGCTAAGGTTAATTTTTTCAATGTCATCTAGTAGCTTTTGGATGGTCTTTTCTTGTTCCCTTCTTTTTGGTAGGTTCTCTGAGTACAAAGTGTCACTATTTCTCATATAAAATTTGCCCTTTTCATATTTTGGGAATCTAAAATTTTGATGAGTGAAGAACTTTGGGATAATTGCTACTGTCTTGTTACTCGTAGTTGCAGCAGGGAACTTATCCATGATTTTTTTTTTTGCTAGGAGAAGTGATTACTTCATGTCATGACAATTCCATCTGCTTGAAGATATTAGCAGATTTACTAAAAAGCCTTATCTTTAAATATTTAACCCACAAAATTTTACTGAACTCTTACTCTGATTTTTTAGTATACAA